CCACCGCGAGGAACAATTCCGGCCGTCGAGCTACCAATTGTAAGAATTCCCCAAAATTGGAAGTCAAGGTAACCAAAGCCAACGGCACATGATACTATTTTTCCAACCGGATTGCTCGCGAGAGCCAATCAGGATTCAGCCTTAAATCACCTGGCCGAAAACTCTACATCCTTATTGGCTCTTGCAAGAAATCCAGTAGGAAAAATAGTATAATGCGTACCGTTGGCTTAGCAGATCTCAGAAGATCTGAGATATGTATTGTAATTCATTATTGTACGGTTATCGCGCTCGGAGCCAATTTGTTTGAGGGGGCAAAGGAATGTCAAACGCGCGTCCGTTTCCCAGCACGGGCTATGTGTAAAACGACGCTGCAGAGAGCTGTTCGAGGCAGATGACACCGTGACGCAATTTTTGTATGCTCGCGGTGGTAGGTGTCGTGCGGCATTCACACTACACGCGATCCCTGCCATTTCGTCGTTTTGCAAATATAAACAACGAACATTATCGCGTCGCAGCGAGAGCTATTCGGTGGTTTGTCGCCTCAATAACGGCGCAGTTATACCGATGATGGTTGTTTAATGATTTGCAATCGGCCGACACCGCGCCGAATCACGCTTCTTTCTCTCTCCCCCCCTTCTCTCTCTCCCCCCCCCCTCGCTCTCGTTCTCGCTTGCTCTCTCTCGCCGTTATACCATCGCGTCCTCGTTTCCGCGATCGCGGCTTTTCGTACTTTCCTTTGGATCGATGTCGGCTCGCTCTTGATTTAAAGCAAATTAACGCTGGCTACGCTGTACTGCGTCGTTTATTTGGATTCGCGTAAAAAAGCAATCTCGACAAACAGAAATGACATACCGAATACAGCAAATAACAACGCACACGTTATACGTTGAATTCGTAAAATTACTTTCACGAATGGCGAAGTTGCGTTTAAAGCCGTATTTGCCATAAAATTTTACCCGAGGTCATTTCAAGTTTTACGCCTCGGAAGTTTATTCAGTTAGAAATCGCACGTACATTCCCGGAGATTTGCTGAAATCCGCACCGTCAATCGTCATTAAATCGCGCGCAAGAACAATATCGATTCTATGTACATATAACAAATTTCAGCCGTTTAATAATGTCACCATACATTTGTGCGTTCTACCTTTTCTACGTACGCGCATTCACGAAATCCTCTCCCGCAGGTCGTATACAGGTTTGCTTAACGGCCCGTATAAAGTTTACGGGCGTTCCGGCTGAAACAGCGGGAGAAATTTCTTTCGAAGAGATTCATTCTAGGCGAGAGATGGGGATCTCGTGTCGCCTTAAGGGGATGCTGGAGTGATTCTACACTTTTTGCACCTTTTGCACCTAGAGCTGTCAGTTCGTGGGAACATTTCTGTAATATACGAATTATGTGGCTTTCGTGTACAGACCGAAAGTGTCCCACTATTCGGACTAAATCAGAGAACAGCATGTAATCATTGAAATTAAATTTAGAAGCCTAACAAAAATCTATTTACTTAAATAATAAAAATCTATTTGCCTAAATAGATTTCATGACCTGACAGTTTTAGATGCAAAAAGTGCAAAAGGTGCAGAATCTCTCAAGCATCCCTTTAAAGGTCTGCACAGTCCGACCATAATTTGAGCGCTTTCGGGCAGTCGGTTAAACTTGCTAATACTGTCAAATTTAATCAGCCGATATTACTAAAGAATATAAATGAAGAAATATAGGGTACTAAAGAGCGCTACAAATTCGAAAGAGTATACGCTCGAAGATCACGAGCCGCGCGAAGAATGGAGAACAAAGCGAAAGTTGCGATAAAAAGCCCCTGATATTAACAGATTTCTGAAAAAGAGTTTCTCGCGGAATTCTGGTGAAAGGATTTTCTAGCAGCGCGCCCCGCACGTCGTCGATCCTGGAATAAAAGATGAACCGGTAGTTTGCGGGCGCGCTTTAAAGTTCTCATCAAGCGATCGAGGTCTGTGGGACACTTCTGTGTCTCATTGTTCTCTTTGTTTGGTATTTACGCTGTTGCACCGGGACTACAGTGCGGCGTGCCCGGCGGCATCGGCGACTAGGACGGACCGGGGAGGGTAAGGGGAACCAGGAGAACGCGGGGGTGAGGTCGCCGGTGCGCCGGGGAGAGAAGCTTTCATTAAGCTTGCATTGTCCCAGCACCGCGCTATTATAGCCGAGTGAATAACTTGGAGCCATTCTGGTAGTCATGCCGCCCTTGTCCCTCCCGCCCTCCCTCTTTTCTTCCTTCTTCCTGCGTCGCCCCGTCTTCCGTTCTATCTTTTTCTCCACTCTTCCCTTTTTCCATCTCGTACGCCACCCCTTTGCGCTCCGCTTCCGATATTCCGTGCAACCCCCCGCGTGCCGCGATCCTCCTCGTCTCCTCCCTCGCTCGCGCACTTTGACGCATCTCCAATTTATTCCGCGACCTCGGTGGCTGGCTGTCCCGTTAGTCGCGGGCGTGATATTAACGAGCCGAACGGCGATATAACGGTAACGGCAAATCGCTCGAGCGGCGCCGCGGCGGCATCGAGCGACGTGTCCCGCTCTCGCCGGGGCGCCAACGGAGCGCGCGGATGGTTTCCATTCGACGCTGGCGTCGATGATGGGTAGTGAGACCTTTTAACGAATACGACCTCGACGCGCCCGTAAAATCTTGACTGTCCAGTTCGTTAATTACTTGCCACGACCTCGTCGTAACTATACCTCGTTTGTTCGACGACCGTTTTGAAAACCACCCCTTCTCGCCGCTCCTCCCGATCCTTGCCCGCCAACGTTCGTCCCCCACTCGCCCTGTATACACACCGGCAGGATATGCCTGAATCCCGCCCTTCGCTTCCACGTTGATCGTTAATAACACGAAAGGGGGAAGCGCGCAAGGGGCGCGGAAAAAGGGATGATTGCCAGAGGTAACGGGAGGTACGTGTCACCTCTCCGACGATTACATTTGATTTCTAGAGGCACTTGATGCGTTCAATTACTTCCACTCGGGATTTGCTTCTTCATTATAACGAGCATTTCTACAGCCGACGCTCCTCTCGTAGCTCCTCCTCTTACTCTCTTTCTCTCTTCCTGTTTCTACCGCGCTATATCTATTTGGTGATGATGCGAAGTTATGTCGCTGCGCATAATGTCGCTCCGGAGCGGAAAGCTGGTTTGTATTCGGGAAGTCAACTCCGCGCGAAAGCAGGTCACAATGAACTTCTATGGCGAAAATAAGCATCCTACGAGGTTACCTACAAACAAACCATTTAAGCAGATATTTATAATGTGAAAAGTATTTTCACCTTACTGTGAGACGCTGAATAAATTTGAGAGAGCATTCTGCTGATCTGGAAATTTAATTTATAGGGAGGACGATATCTATACACAGCCACATTTGGAACAAAAATCGGTGCAACAATGTTGCCGAAGTATGTCATCATTATCTTTATATTCATAGCAGACAGCACAGCAGTATTTAAGGGGAAGATACAATATTAAAGTCTCAAAAATAGGTGCCTTAAACATTTTTGTAAATATGCAAATACAAACCAAAATGATGCTTTTTTTTAAATAAAGCTTGATTTGTCAAATATTTTAGTAAGACTAGAAAACAGCACATCTCAACTAGCGTTGTATGAAATACACGGGAGACTGGTTGACAGAATTCCGGCTACAATTGTTATCCAAAATAAATAAACGACAGTGTTTATTAAATTACAGACTAGTGGCCATTGTCCATTGAGCCAGATTTTTGAAAAATTGATTTTTCGAGTTTTGCGACAAGTTTGAACTAAAACTGAAAAATTTCACGTAAAAATTGGAACTGTTTTTAATTGTAAGACAAACGAATACAGTTATCAAAAAAATGCCCAGATGGACGATAGAAGATTTAACTACGAGTAGAGTGCGCTTTGGTTGATGTAGATCGGCTGATTTTTGAATGCTAGAGGCTGTCAACCAGGTCAGGAAGCACTGTTTCAAGAAAAATGCGTTTAAAGTTTGAAATAATGCTGCACAGCGCTCATGCAAAAAAATTCTAACGCCGTAAATATTAAGAATTCTGACAAGAGGCTTAAAAATATAATTTTTTATACTTCAAACTTCAGTTTCAAAAAATTAAAATAATGCATTGTAATAGTGTAATTTTAATATGATTGTCATATTTTAATATGGCATAAAAGTGCGATATAAGAAATGTTTCATTTTTCCTTATTATTCCCCGATTGAATTTATTAAGATCTTAATCAACGTCTGGTCTCTCTTTAAGCACAAGTATAAAATTCATTTTTTACTTTCAACTCTCGGAAAGCAACGTGATCGAAAGTGATAAAGATGGAAGTCCACTGAGAGACTCTTTCTATTCGCTATTGTGAATTGTATCCTTGGTAATCTATCTTCTTAGAGTCTACTATTTTTATTCGTAAATTGGATATTTTCCTGCACGTAGGATTCAATCTGCAGTAGCCGATAGATCCGTACGTAGAATCTCTCTCTCTCTCTCTCGTACAAAGAATGACTTTCGAATGCGTAGAAATCAGATTACACTGACCAATACGTTTCAAGATTACCGGAAATCTTATTCGGAAATTGCCAAGTACCGAGCTTACGGACTCGCTATTGTCCGCTAAATAAGATTTCAATTCGCAATTGCCATGACCGTCTGAATTACTTATTAAACGACTGTGTATTTATTTTGAATTTCATTATAGAATTCATTTGGATGAATATTACGCGAAAGTAGAGCGAGTGGAAAACGGGAGACGTCTTGTATTTCGTACAATTCAGACATCATCCGCGATATCGCATTTCTCTCGAAGATATTTGGAGAGATTCTGTTTAAAAATAGAACACCGAGGGCGGAGTTAAATTATATCTTGTATTATTTTAACTCGATCCGCTTGCAACAATAGCCCGGTAATATCTTCGATTTTTCTTTCTCGGTTTTTCGGATGTTTCTCTGCGATATCACATCAACGTCGTGGCATTGACACTAATTGCTTAATACCTGTTTCAGATACTCCATCGTTCGCGATAACGCGTTTACCTGGTTTTGGAATTCCGATCGTCGAGGGGATGTCTGTCAGCCTGAAATGCGAGGTAGACAGCAATCCAGCCAGTACTCCAATTTGGCAGCGCGGTAAGTGGCGAGCGAAAAAAAAGGAATGGAATTCGCGCGCGTTTAGCCCCGGTTTCTCGACCGGGCGCCCGGAAGGACATCTAACTTATTAATTTTATCAATTTTAGATTCGCTTCGCGCAAAACAATCCTGTTTAAAAATATAACGTTTTTTACACTTCAATTTTTCAATTTTTAAAATCGTGTATAATGCAACATAGAAGGAAGCGCATGCTTCATAGCTAATATAAATTAATAAATCAATCGTGTCGTTAATACCTTAATTTTTACTATCAATGCCACTCGTTTCGAGCTCAAAACAGATAGTTATAATAAACGTATTATATATCACGTTACATTTTATCTTTCATTTAAACTCCACCATTTGAATGGCGTGGAGATTAACTCTTCTCAGCGGTAACGTTATCCGTATTTTCCACGGCCGGTAAATTTTTGGCGATTTAAATACGTCCGGTAATGAGATTTTTAACGAGTTACCGCCGCTACAAACAGGCTCTTACCCGAAGCGAATTTCAACATAGTAATTTACATCGTTCGTAAACATACGCGGTTTAGCAAAGCGCAAACTATTGATTAATTCCGAATAAATTTTACCTTGATAAAATATGAAGATTGCCGACTTTTATGAATCTTCCAAAACCCCATAACGCATGTCATATATGAATTATGAGAGATATTTTCAGATAAACATTCTTTCCGATCCCGAGCAAATTTTATTTCAATAAAATAAAATTCCGAGCAGATTCTTTAAAAGTGACCGCGATAAAGTTGCGAAATAATGCACGGCAATCTATTATAAGATCTTTAACGAGAAAAAGATCAATTAGAAACTAATCGAAAAGAAAATTCTTATTAACTGAAAGCGGCAGCAGCAGCGGAAGGTTGAAAGGAAATGAAATACTATTCAATCCTTATTCTTTCTAATGTTACTTCGAAACTTGAAAAGGGCACTTTGAACGTGTCCCGTGTGTGTGTACACACATATTTGCAGGCAGTGTTTTGGCAGACGGCGAGTTGCGAAGCGCACGTGCATTATTTCGCGCAACTCCCCATTCCCTGCAGTTCCCTGCAGCTAGGAAACGCGTCACGTTGTAGGTAGACACGTTAGCGCGGGCACGTGTAACGGCAACGTGAGCATAATTTAATCACTGTAAACAGGCACTTGGATGGGGTGGAATCTGATGCACATGACCCTCGGCGTAATATCGGCCTCGTAATAACTCTAAAGGAGATGTAACTTATCTGTAAACGCATGCGTCAATGTACCGATAAGCGTAACACGACTGTAATCGAATTATCGAGTCGTCCTCCCGCGTTGGCCCTTTTCTGAACAGGACGCTCTCTTACCGACAAACGCGGCCGATATGACGCGCGTGACAACTAAAGGCCTTTGCACGTAAAAAAGCATTAACCGTAACCGTAATTTTAGTCCATAACCTACGGACCCTACGTAATTTTAGTCCGTAACCTTAGGAATTTTACTTGGGTTGCGCCATCTGTCTGTACGTGTTGAAAACTACGATTACGGACTAAAATTGCGGTTACGGTTAACGCTTTTTTACGTGCAAAGGCCTTAAAGGACCTCAGCAGAATGACTGATTTCAAGTCCCAAGGCAATGTTTTATATCTTAAAAGGGGATCCGATTTGCACTATTATTTCTTATTAAACTTATAAACTTAGTTTCAGTGATACCATGTTGTTCTCTGATTTAGTCGGAATAGCATGCTGTTTTCGATACGTTTACGTACACGTAAGCCATATAATTTGTACGTTACACAAATGTTTCCACAAAACTGACAGTTTTAGGTGTACAAGGTGTAAAAGTGCAAATCGGATCCAGCATTAAGTACGGGTCCACCTTAAGTTTTAAGTCTTTGGCCTGGTCTGCAATGAGTTGCTAGTCGTTAGTCAGAAGCAGGAACTATATGTTGATCCTTTTCTTTTCTGGGTGGAGGAAAAAAGACCGACATATAGTTCTGACTTCTGACTAATGACTAACAAAATGGCTCAGGCCCTAAGACTAATATTACATTTGTCGTACGACAAATTTTTTAAGCGTGTTGATTGGCTGCAAGATAGTAAAATTCTCGAGTACCTCGAGAAATTTTCTATTCAGCAGCCAATCGACTTAAAAAATTGATCGCACGACAAATGTAATATTAGGCTAATAATGGGATTAGAAAAACGAATTGCTCGATTAAATTGGTGTTATTGCGGGGAGAGTTCGGTTTTCCTCATGTAAAATGAATGAGCCAACGATGCAATTGCGGTATTGAAATTGAAAGATTAATTGTGTAGATAATAGAGAACGTGAGCTGACGATTATATGCGAATTACCAGTTATGTACATATTATAATATTATAATTATCGCGCGGCGCGCAAATAACGCGTTTCGAAATAATAACATTGTAAGCGGTATTCTTAACGTGCTTTGCAAAATGCACCCTCTACAGAGCCGGGGAGAGACTTTCCGCCATTTCCACGCGAAATCCGCGCTGTAACGTAACAATCGCGCACTCATTCCTCGAGAGAAGTCGTAATTCTCGCGTAATTAAACCATTACCAGCGATATGCTTAGGTGAGTCAAACGCATGTCGCCGCTCGCGGCATAATAACGTCGTCCTTAGCGCGGCGGTTTGAGGAAGACGAGAGGAGGTTCCGAAGTTCTGCATTCACGCGATTTCCGTCAACCTTCCGTCGTCTCAGCGTCTCACCTCCCCGAAATCTCGGGGATCTCGCGGCTCGAGAGTCGGGGGCGGGAGGGTAAGGTGGTACATCCCATAATCACATTATTACGTACCGCAACGGGCGCGACAAGTCTACCACACAGACGCCGGCAGAAATCGGGACAATGGACAGCCCCCTCCCCCCCCCCCCACCGTCGTCGGTCCCTTTCATCCCGGCAATTCTCGCCGGCGCGCTTTCATTCGGCTCCGATAGACAGGTGTACGCGCTCGATATTATCCCCGTCTCGATGCACCACTACGCGCTGCAGCCGCGCCTACTTCCGCATTGTAAATTTTGGTGCCGGCGTTAAAGGGGGATTCGGCGGCTGCGGCGCCGTGCCGTGCCGTGAGCGAGCAACGTCGAGGAAGCTGTTACGCGACGCGTGATATCGGAACAGCACGTTGCTCCGTCTAATCTGCCCTATTGGCCGGCACTTGCGCGAGAGACGGAGATAAGGCAACGCGGGGGCGATCACGTCAGGTGCAACGTGACTGCCTCGCAACGTCCCAAAATCAAAACACGGACATTCAAGGGGGTAACCACCAGTTCAAATGTTGTCCCATCGATTACACGATTTCATCTGATTACAAATAATCTCATCTAATTGCAAATCATTTTCTTACAGTATATGTACGTTTAAACATATTGTTAAACCTCAAAGAGCTGTTAGATTTCCTCAAAATATATTTTCCTTATTTTAGTAAGAAGTATTTGCTTGTAGAGGTAATTTCAGTTAAGATTGTAGTATTCGGTCATGTGTTTCCTTGCTTCCCACTTTTCCCAATAGTCTGAGCGAAAAGTTTGTCAAAAAGTAACACACGCGATAAACGTTATTTTAACTTAAAATTTAGAGTGAACCTTTTGGGACGTATAAAAAATGTTAACGTTAACATTTTATTTTTTACTGTGTAACGTACTATTCGCATTCGTTTAAATGTACATGTGCGGCAGAGGGAAAAGATTATTTACGTGTAGAATAAACGCGTGATTTTTTATCATATAAATTTCACAATGTGAATGATATCGCTGCATTATATTAGAATTAATCAAAATGCGACTTATGGTAACTTGGGCGTTGCGAAAAATAAAACATTTTTGATATTGCAAGGAAACAGTAATACTGAAATATAATTGAGCTTATTTATTTCTTGCAATGATCGCCAGAATTCTTTTCCAATATTCAATAGCGATAATTAATTTAACAAATGGTTTTATAATAAAATGCTTGATAGAGACGAATAATACCGTAACGACAGACGCCACATAGCCTTGCGCTTAAAATGTAAAGCGACCTGAAATTATCGCGATTTGCAGCACAGTGTTTCGAGACTCGCGTTATAATTAATTCGTATTAAAATCGATAAAGAAGAAAACGAACGAGAGGGAGTACTCAGAGTCGCACAGATTCATTACCATTTGGCTGTTCTTTGTCGTGGGAGAACTCACCGGCTGCGGCTGCTTCTATGGCCTGATAAATATTTAAAACTGTCTATAATTCCCTCCTTCCTGTGAGCGGTTCCTGAACGTTTCATCCCGCGCCGTGGCTTTTAATCCCACCGTTATTTCATATTCCAAGCTTAATCTGCCTTATCTTCCCAATCGAGGTGTTCATTGATTGGAATAAGCGATATAAATCCGCGTTCCGTGAAAAGTTATCATCATAGCGAGGTAAAAAAAGAAATAAAATTTTTGTACAGCAAAAAGGTAATCGACATCACTTGAAAATTAACGATGCAAAAAGCACGAACTGTGAAAGAAGAAATTTATACGCATTTTAATTAGTATACAAATTTTTTAAATCAAAGATATCCGATGATGTGTATATTTTACTTAAATTTCAATATGGATCAGCGGTTAATAGCGCAAAGTTAAGCTGCGCGCGGAGACAACAAATAATTACACTTTCTTTCCGTTACCACATATCGTTCACGGCGCTTCACCTTGGTTACCTCTTATTAAGTTAGTGACTTTCATGAGGCAATCTCTCAACTTGATGCCCTCGGCCAGTAATGAGGAGTAAAGCAGTAAAATTTTAATAATCTCGCTGATTTTATACAGTCTTTTAAAAATGCCATTTATAATTCATGAAGGTGCACTCGGTTGATTACGGATAGCGTGATCAAAAAGAAATTTTGTAAACTGTAGCTTTAAGAGCATAGACCTATCGAAACTTTAGCCTCTCTTTAATTTTACCAAATAGACCTTTGCTCAGCAACAATTTGATTGCATACTGCTAACATTGATACAAAAAGCAGTATTGAATAAAGAAGCA